GCTATTACAAAGGCAGAATGCTGGGTGTCCATTCCAGATTATCACAAAAAGATTTCTGGGTTTCTGACAGACATGAATGCTCAAATCGGTGCGTTAAAGGATCCCTCTTGCCTTTAAAAACTGGCTACACTCTTGGACTGGGGGAGGATTCTCATCCACTATCAAGAGACTCTTAATTGGGCTTCCCTTTCTTTCGGTTATTCTAATCATGTTTTGTTGTTTTCTCCAGTGTCTCTCCACTTGGTGCCCACAATCCTTCACGGCAATAACTTCCAGACGACAGATGGCCCCTTCCACTCAGGAAGAGCCACACAAACAGTCTCCCCTCGACTCAGCCTTTCGCAACTCCTACATATAGAAGCCCCCAACTGACCAACAGTGACCCATAGGTAGGGACATCTCTACGCCCCTCTTCAGCAGGAAGAAGTTACAGAAGATGAGACCTTCCACCTTCAACAACCTTCAAGATCTAAGGGTCAAAACTGTGGACCAGAAGCTGGCACTCCTGGCTGTCCCTGTGCTGTGATAAAATCACCTTTTTGCAACCAACGTCTCAAGAACTCTTTCTTGACTATCAGCCTCAAACCCTAATGTCTTTCCTACATCAGTTCTCACCTCTTGTAAGGCCCATGTGGAAACACCCCTGCAATACTGTCACATTTCTTTCAACACATTCGTCTCTAACCACCTAACCTGCGGCTCATTCCGTAGCCTTGGAGAACAGGAGATTTCTGTTAGTCTTGGTGGGAAACTGTGACATGGCACCTCTTTCAGTCCCTCGCTTTTGTTGATTTTCCCCATCTTAATCTCCCCCAGCATCCCATCCTCGTGCTTTTTCTCACATTTTAACTTGTCAATAGGTTGTAATCACCAATGTCCTATAATGTGTTTCTGCTCCTTGGTAGACAATTCCATTTCATTCTTGATCAAGGTCAAATTTAAACACTCATATTTGCCTCGAAGCTTTCTCAACATTTTCCTTCCCCTCATGCCTCTCTACCTCTTTCTCTTTTCCCTTTTTTTTTCAGGCACTTTTTTTATTTTTATTTTTGATTATGCTCAGTTAGCCACGGTACAGTACTTCAGTCGTTTTTGATGTAGTGTTCCATGACTCATTAGTTACGTTTTACACCCAATGCTCATCATAGCACGTGCCCTCCTCAATACCCATCACTCGGAGATGAACTCACATGAACTCATGTGGGGGGAAACACTAGAGCTGCATCATAGGGGGAGAAGCTTCAGGTGGAGCTCCAGCCTGAGCTTACACCAAGAACTCGGGGTGCACCTCATCCCTGATGCAGTAGTGAAGGTGCAGGAACCCTCCTGGGACACCCTGGATCATCGCTGCCGCTGAAATCCAAGGAAATCAATGTGGGAATCCCATTACACGTGGAGCCAACATATCAAGGACCTGGGAGGACTCACGCAAAGTAAAATCCTCTCAGTGGGATGAGGAAGGGAAAGTCCTCACTTATCTCATATCCTTAGTGAACAAGGACATCCTTACACTGAGGAAACACTGATTCCAAAGCAAGGTGGAAAATCCTTCCCCCGACAGTCACATCAGAAAACTCTAACTGGGAACATACTTCACAAAGAATTTTTCTTTTTATTGTGAATGGAGACAGGAGCTCAAACACTGGCAATTGTACATTACAAATACACACAATGGTGAAGTGTTCTGAGAATTGTTGAATGCGACATTTAGGAACAGGTAACAAAGAAAGGAGGCCATCTCACTTCAACAGATCAGTACTTCCAAACATGTCAGCACTACGGAGTGGACGTGTGTCTGTCAAAACCACGAACAGTGTGCTGAGTAACAATTCCCAACTCCTTCTTCAACAAAAGCCCAAATGAAGAAGAACAAAGAGCATGGACTGACGCCAGGTGATTCTGTCTACCAGAAGAGACACCAAATTAAAGACTCTCCACAACCAGGACAGAAGGGACCTCACCAGGCCCTATTAACCACTTCCTGGGACAGCAAATTAGAGGGAATCAACCAAAGGAATGGACTTCAACTCCTACGACTGACACCCAGCTCCTCCTAGGATGACATTCACCTTCAGCCCAGGATGAGAAGCAGACAACAACTAAGTAAAAAGCTAACCTCACGATTCAGGACCAAGCCTGTTCTTCTTCTCATTACTCTTTGTAACTCTGGTAACTTAGATGATCTTATGTCTGCTGGGTCATCTCCACCCCCTCTCCTAAAACAGCCTCCTAAAATTTCATGCTTACTTGCTCATCATGCTGATTTTACACCCAAGAGCAACATAATTACCTACTCTAAAGAGACAATTTAAACCACCTGTTTAGCACATCATGGAATGACTCCAATGTGCCTTTCCCTTCCTGCTGCTGCCTATTCTGGGGGTATATTTATTACAGGGGACCTATTTTAGGAGGAAAATTCCAAGCCATGCTGCCATGTTCATTCTGAAAGGCAGTGGACCAGTTGAATGAGTCACTTTATTCTGGTTAGGAGTCAAGGACTTAGCCTCTCGGGAGACAGTGGTAAAAAGGAGTTCTATGTGGGGCCAAGACACTGCAGCAGGTAGTAATTTAGGCTGACGGAAGAAAATCCACTTGATTAAGGACAACAAGATCTGACAAGGAGGGGAGAATGTATCTCAGGTAGTGTTGGAAGCAGAACAAACCTTGGTAACATTCCTCTGGGCAAAATGTGAGCTGGTTTTCCAGCACAGAAATCGGTCTGGGTGTACCTTTTTTTTTTTTAAAGATTGTATTTATTTATTTCAGAGAGAGAGAGAGTGAGAGCATGAGAGGGGAGAGGGTCAGAGGGAGAAGCAGACTCCCCACCAAGCGGGGAGCCCGATGGGGACTCGATCCCGGGACTCCAGGATCATGACCTGAGCTGAAGGCAGTCACTCAACCAACAGAGCCACCCAGGCGCCCGCTGGGTGTACCTTTCGTAGAATCATATGTAATGATCCTACCATAAAAGTAAAACCACAACACAACACAACAAAACAAAACACTCCAGGAAGGGAATGTGTAAGTAGCACTGAGTAAATGCAGAGAGATCTCCAGGGCCCCAGTGGCCCATTCTTGGCTCAGCAACTACGGGACCTAGAGGTGCAGCGAGCAGAGGTCCGGGAGATGCGCTGTCGTGGCTGCAGTGACACCTGTCTGATGTCCCCAGCCCACTCTAGCTCCGCGTGACTGTGGCTTGCAGCACAAAATTTATTCCACAGCATGTAGATGTGTCCTGTTTTCCTTGTGAAGCAGACTGCTGGTCTCAGGGCCAGAACGGTGATCACTTCTGTTGCCACGATGTAAACCACCACCAGGCTAACTCTAGACATTTTGTGATGCATTTAGATGAAGCAGCATGGCTTCATTCCAGGAATGCCTCCATTCAGGACATCCTCAGGCAGCCAGGCAGCCAGGCACCCAGCCAGATGCTGAGGACTGTGGGAGTTCCATTTTACAGGTAAATAACTGAGACTCACAGGCCTTGAGTGTCTTGTTCAGAGTCACTAAGACATGAAAGTGGTCATGTGGCTTGGGTAGATACGGCTGATTGTCTCTAAAACACCTCATCTCCTTTCTCCTTGTGGACAGGGACTCGAATTTAAGGCCGCAAGGCGCCCAGCCGGAAGTGATGACTTATGATAAAGACAATCATGACAGGGGCGCCTGGGTGGCTCAGTCAGTTAAGCGTCTGCCTTTGGCCCAGGTCCTGATCCTGGGGGCCTGGGATGGTCTTGGGTTCAAGGTCCCCAGCTCGGGCTCCCTGATTAGTGGGAAGTCTGCTTCTCCCTCTCTCTCTGCCTCTCTCCCTGCACGTGCACTCTCTCTCTAATAAATAAATAAAATCTTTTTTAAAAAGGCAATTATGCAAAGCTGTTTCCCAATTCCTCAGCCTTTCCTGCAGTTAGAGGGAGCCCTGTGATCCAGTTATGACCCATAAAACTTAATGAAAAAACTGCTTCATGTGACTCTGAGAAGCTTTTTGTTTTTTGGGGAAAAAAGGGGGAGTGGTGAGTGTGGCTCACCTGACTTCTCACAATTCTTCTCATTGCCTTGTAAGCAGATATAATATCTGGTGCTGCTGCAGCCATCTTGTGTCCATGAAGAGAGGAAGGAAGGAAGGAAGGGAGCGAGGGAGGGAGGGAGGGAGGGAGTAGGGAAGGAGGGAGGAAGGTAAGAAGGAAGGGAGACAAAGAAGGAAAAATCCTGAGCCTCAGATGTAACCCAGCCTGTGTCTCTGGTGTCATTATTAAAGCAGCTAAAGCAATGCCAGCAACTGCCTACTCCAGATTTCTGTGAGTTAAACAATCCTCTCTTTTAAGAACTCACATTGTTCACATTCTCTCTTAATGGCAGCCAAATGCACACCCAGTAAAGTAGCAGAGTTGGACTGTCTTCAGGGCTGTCTGACGCCACTGTCTTCTTGGTTTCCACTCTGCCGTGCTAGCTGCTTGGCAAAAGAGTCCTCAGCAGGTTCTGGGAATCCAGTGGGAACACGTCAACGATGTCACACAGCAAGGTCAGGCTAAAGGACCCACACACACGAGGCTGAGTCTCACCTTGCTGGGTGAGAGTCACCTAAGTGCTTCCTGCCTCACTCAGCCCCAAGTCTTCTGGATTGAGTCCAAGCCTGCCCATGAGTGAGTGAGGTCTGAAATGTGTGGGAGGGCGGGGCATGTAGCTTTGACTGAGGCAAGGGATCCAGCAGGACCTACCCTACCTGGTGTTCGGACTCGTCCTAGAGGAATGCTTCGTGTCGCAGCTCCAGGGACCCCTGGGTGTGCCACCCTGCTGTTCTGGTCATTACCGGTCATTACCAGGCTCTCTGAATCGACTAGGAAAACACTATTTCTCTGTGGAGAAATAGTTTCAGTTTCTGCAAAAGCAAACTACCCTGAAACTCATGGGTGTAAAACAGCACCCATTTTATTTTGCTCACGATTTGGGGGGACAAGAAAGTGGGGAGGTTTTGGCAAGGCAATTCTCAGTTGAGTCACTCATGCTGTTGCCACCAGATGATGGCTGATGTTCAGCGGTCTGAGGACTGGGTGGCAATGGGCATCCAGGATGGAATACCCAGCAGCCTCACTTCTCAGGCTGGACGTTGCTGGAGCTGGGGGCTGGAGCACCTGCAGGTGGCCTCTCCAGCGTGGAGATTTCAGAGCTGATGTATTTCTAACATGGCACCTGGTTTCTCCAAAAGCTTCCGGGGCAAGCACCCAAAGAGAAAGGGCTTTTTCTGATCTGACTTTGGAAGTCACACAGCATCACTTACAATTCTTCCCATTGGTCATAGACAACTCACTAATAAGGTCGCTCTCACTCTGGCTGGAGGGACACAGAGTCAAAGAATTCTAAGCCAGTGTTTTTACAACCAAGCACAATCATCTGGAAGGAGATTCTGCTGGAGAACCATCTAGAAGGGAAATGTTCTGTTAGCCAGCAGCACTGCTATGAAGGTAGAGATGCCCAGAGATTGCAGACCACGTTTTCGTGCACCTGTTGTCTCTTTTCTGATCAGAAAATAATATGGGGGGGGGGGGGGGCGGAGCAAGATGGCGGAGGAGTAGGAGACCTGGATTTCGTCTCCTCTCAGGAATTCAGCTGGATAGGGATCAAACCATTCTGAAAACCTACAAACCCAACAGGAGATCGAAGAAAAGAAGAGCAACAACTCTCTCATCAGAAAAGCGACCACTTTGTGGAAGGTAGGACGTGCGGAGAAGTGAATCCGAGGCGATATTCGGGAGGATAGGAGGCAGGGGAGGGGCCTCCGTCAGCCGCTTCTGGCAAGTGATAGAGCCGCGGAGCACAAAATCGGAACTTTTAAAAGTCGGCTCCGCTGAGGGACGTCACTCTGGGGGCTAAGCGGGGGGTGGAACCCTCCGGGACAGTGTGGGCTCAGGACCCTCGGGGTCACAGAAAGGCCGGGGGTGCCTGAGTGTGGCAGAGCTCCCAGGTAACGGAGCAGGGAAGCCAGCTGCAGAGACGGAGCCCAGGCGCGGGCTCTCAGCTCCGGGTCGCCATAAACCGTGATCCGCGGCACAGTCGGGCCCCTGCTCCTCCAGCAGGGACCCAACAAGCGGCAGATCCGGGGAGACTCACCTTCCCCCCAGGGAGGAGCCGCGCAGGAGTGCACCGCAGGGATCTGCTGGGTTTGGAGACTCCACCCGGGGTCGGGTGCCAGAGATAGAGGCGCGCGGTCACAGGCCGGGTGAGCACGGAGTGCGGCCGGAGACCGGGGAGACGGGAGTGACTGACGGCTTTTCTCTGGGGGCTCACTGAGGAGCGGGGTCCTGAGTTCTCAGCTCCTCCACGGCGGAGATTGGGAGGCCGCCATTTTCACTCTCCGCCTCCAAAGCTGTAGGGAAAGCTCGCAGGGAACAAAAGCCCCGGAGAGCAAACCCGAGCAGATGACTTAGCCGGGAGGGGGCAAGGGCGGGGCAATTCCGCCTCCGGCAGAGACATTTGGAAACCACGGCAACAGGCCCCTCCCCAGAAGATCAGCGAGAACAGCCAGCCAAGACCAAGTTTACCGATCAATGAGAACGGCAGAACTCCAGCGCTAGGGGAATACTGCACATAGAATTCACGGCTTTTTTACCATGATTCTTTAGTCTATTAAAGTTAATTTTTTTTTAACTTTTTTGTCTTTTTATTTCTTTTTGAATTTTTCTTTTTCCCTTTTTCAACCAACATCTTATCAATCCTTTTTAAAAAAAACATTTTTATTTTTCATTTTTAGAGTCATATTCTATCCCTTCATAGTAGTTACCCATATTTTTGGCTTATATATATAAGTTGTTCTCTCTTTAAAATTTTGAGATAGTTTCTTCTAACAGATTAAAATATACCCTAAATCTCTAGTATATGGTGTTTTCTATTCCCCTGCCTGATCACATCCTCTCCTTTTTTTCTTTTTCTTTTTTCTTTTTTAAATCCTCCTCTTTCTTTTTTCAAACAACTTCTTATCAATTCCTTTTATAAAATTTTTTATAATTTCCATTTTTACAGTCATATTCCATCCCTTCATCATATCAACCCTTATTTTTATACATATATAAGTTTTTCTTTCTTTAAAATTTTGGGAGGCACTTTGTTCTAAAAGACCAAAATACACCCCAAATCTAGTGTGTGGCACTGATCTATATACCATATAGATCATATTTGATCACATTCTGGTTTTTCTTTTGTTGTTGTTGTTTTGTTTTGTTTGTTTTTGTTTTTGTTTTTATCTTTATCTTTTTCTTTTTTTTCTTTTTCTTTTTTCTCTCTTTCCCTTTCTTATCCCACTGCTTCAGGTCTTTTCTGATTTGTTTAAAGTATATTTTCTGGGGACGTGGTTACTCTGCTAGCATTTTGTTCTCTCATTAATCTACTCTCCTCTGCACAAAATGACGAGACGGAAAAAATCACCTCATCAAAAAGAACAAGAGGTAGTACCGACTGCCAGGGACCTACTCAATACGGACATTAGTACTATGTCAGATCTAGAGTTCAGAATCATCACTTTAAAGATACTAGCTGGGCTTGAAAAAAATATGGAAGTTATTAGAGAAACGCTTTCTGGAGAAGTAAAAGAGCTAAAATCCAACCAAGTAGAAATCAAAAAGGCTATTAATGAGGTGCAATCAAAAATGGGGGCACTAACTGCTAGAATAAATGAGGCAGAAGAGAGAATCAGTAATATAGAAGATGAAATGATGGAAAATAAAGAAGCTGAGAAAAAGAGAGATAAACAACTACTGGATCACGAGGGCAGAATTCGAGAGATAAGCGATACCATAAGACGAAACAACATTAGAATACTTGGGATCCCAGAAGAAGAAGAAAGAGAGAGAGGGGCAGAAGGTATAATGGAGCAAATTATAGCAGAGAACTTCCCTAATTTGGGGAAAGAAACAGGCATGAAAATCCAGGAAGCACAGAGAACCCCTCTCAAAATCAATAAAAATAGGTCAACTCCCCGACATCTAATAGTAAAACTTACGAATCTCATAGACAAAGAGAAAATCCTGAAAGCAGCTTGGGAGAAGAGATATGTAACCTACAAGGGTAGAAACATTAGATTGGCAACAGACCTATCCACAGAGACCTGGCAGGCCAGAAAGGACTGGCAGGATATATTCAGAGCACTAAATGAGAAAAATATGCAGCCAAGAATACTCTATCCAGCTAGGCTGTCATTGAAAATTGAAGGAGAGATAAAAAGCTTCCAGGACAAACAAAAACTAAAGGAATTTGCAAACACAAAACCAGCCCTACAGGAAATCTTGAAAGCGGTCCTCTAAGCAAAGAGAGAGCCTAAAAGCAACATAGACCAGAAAGGAACACAGACAATATACGGTAACAGTCCCCTTACAGGCAATACAATGGCACTAAATTCCTATCTTTCAATAGTTACCCTGAATGTAAATGGGCTAAATGCCCCAATCAAAAGACACAGGCTAACAGACTGGATTAAAAAACAAGACCCATCGATATGCTGTCTGCAAGAGACTCATTTTAGACCCAAAGACACCCCCAGATTGAAAGTGAGGGGGTGGAAAACCATTTACCATGCTAATGGACACCAAAAGAAAGCTGGGGTGGCAATCCTTATATCAGACAAATTAGATTTTAAACCAAAGACTGTAATAAGAGATGAGGAAGGACACTATATCATACTTAAAGGATCTATCCAACAAGAAGATCTAACAAATGTAAATATCTATGCCCCTAACATGGGAGCAGCCAATTATATAAGGCAATTAATAACAAAAGCAAAGAAACACATCAACAACAATACAATAATAGTGGGGGACTTTAACATCCCCCTCACTGAAATGGACAGATCGTCTAAGCAAAAGATGAACAAGGAAATAAAGATTTTAAATGACACACTGGACCAAATGGACTTCACAGACATATTCAGAACATTCCACCCCAAAGCAATGGAATACACATTCTTCTCTAGTGCCCATGGAACATTCTCCAGAAGAGATCACATCCTAGGTCATAAATCAGGTCTCAACTGGTACCAAAAGATTGGGATCATTCCCTGCCTATTTTCAGACCACAATGCTTTGAAACTAGAATTCAATCACAAGAGGAAAGTTGGAAAGAACTCAAATACATGGAGGCTAAAGAGCATCCTACTGAAGAATGAATGGGTCAACCAGGAAATTAAAGAAGAATTAAAAAATACATGGAAACCAATGAAAACGAAAACACAACTATTCAAAATCTTTGGGATGCAGCAAAGGCAGTCCTAAAAGGAAAGTATATAGCAATACAAGCCTTTCTCAAGAAACAAGAAAGGTCTCAAGTACACAACCTAACCCTACACCTAAAGGAGCTGGAGAAAGAACAGCAAATAAAGCCTAAACGCAGCAGGAGAAGAGAAATCATAAAGATCAGAGCAGAAATCAATGAAATAGAAACTAAAAGAACAGTAGAACAGATCAACGAAACTAGGAGCTGGTTCTTTGAAAGAATTAACAAGATTGATAAACCCCTGGCCAGACTTACCAAAAAGAGAAGAGAAATGACCCAAATCAACAAAATCATGAATGAAAGAGGAGAGATCACAACCAACACCAAAGAAATACAATTATAAGAACATATTATGAGCAACTCTATGCCAGCAAATTAGGTAACCTGGAAGAGATGGATGCATTCCTAGAGATGTATCAACTACCAAAACTGAACCAGGATGAAATAGAAAACCTGAACAGACCTATAACCACTAAGGAAATTGAAGCAGTCATCAAAAATCTCCCAAAAAACAAAAGCCCAGGGCCAGATGGCTTCCCAGGGGAATTCTACCAAACATTTCAAGAAGAATGAATACCTATTCTTCTGAAACTGTTCCAAAAAATAGAAATGGAAGGAAAACTTCCAAACTCATTTTATGAGGCCAGCATTACCTTGATCCCCAAACCAGACAAAGACCCCATCAAAAAGGAGAATTACAGACCAATATCCCTGATGAACATGGATGCAAAAATTCTCACCAAAATACTAGCCAGTAGGATCCAACAGTACATTAAAAGGATTATTCAC